GATGAACCCAGCAAGCACCAACAGAACTGCAAAGGTAAAACCTTTCGCCATGATTGCAGTACTACAGAACCAGGTCCTGTAAAACTGCTAACTTGTACAGCGATGAAGTAACTGGAATGTTAAGTGTTAATTAAATATGCAGGTATATTGAAGAGATGAGACAGGGGGTTTAAACTCTACCGGCTTTGTTCCTTAGAAACGCAATGAGATGAAATAGAAGCAAACGGTGTTATTTTGAGATGAAATAGAAGCAAGCCAGATAAAGAAGTGCATACGATTTGGTGTATTAGGGGGAGGGGTGCTAGTAAAAGCTCTCTGAACACGCTCTCTGAGCACGCTCTCTGAAGACTGGAGCTCGCCAGGCCCCCTTCTCCTTCAGAAGCCTCTTACGACCTGCACTCTTGCATTCATATTTTATGTAAAGTGGCTTTTATTTATAGATAAGCTGAAAGCAAGCAAAGTGGCTTACAAATGCCTTTTTATTTTGTTCTTTTAATTATTTTATTATTTGAGTCCTTTTTAGTTTTCAGAATTCAATCTTTGACATCTTTGAATTCAACCCCCGGTTTGTTTGGTGCTGTAAACAAAAGCATTAATATTGATTCAAAACCATATTCAAAACCTACTTTGATTTCTGATCCATGGCCTCTGAAATGAACTATGGCGTCGTGCCGCAAAGCTGCATGCAAAATCGTGCAGTCGCTCGTTATCAAATATGGTTACTGAGCGACAAGTGACGGAATTTATTTGAAAATAATGCACCTTTCTGAGAATCCTAAACTATTCTAATCCTATCCTAAATTTTCTGAGGTATTGTCTTTTTCATGGTAACCATATCATTTTCATGGGCTCCGACAAAGGTTGGAAAATGTGGAGGGGGAAGGCCTTGAAAAAGGAAGCATTTTTCAAGCTTCTCGTCTCACACTTTATAGTATAAAACGTCAGAACATAGATCAACAGTAAGGTAGAAAATATAGGCCAATCAGAAACGCGAGCACATGACTGTGCCCAATCAGTGCCGCTTGCCTATTGTACCCTGTGCTCCAGACCCCTAGCTTGAAAGTAGAGGGTCTGTGTAACCGGGAGCCAAGTCCACTGATTAGATCTAAAAAAGAATGACTGAAAGGTTTTAGGTATTTTAAATAAACGTCAAATTGGCATAGAATGTTAAATTCTTAAATTTTTACAAAGTTGAATTATTTCAGTAACGGTAGATTTTTGAGTGGCTGGGCAATTTTAGTGAGTTTTCTTGTTTCAGCATATTTTTCTCTTCTACTTTCTATAAAAAAATATTTTATCCCTTTAAGGAAAATACTTTCGGGATGGGATGCTGTTTCCCCCTCCTCAACCTTCATTATTTATACCATTGACATCTAATGATAACCGATGCAATTTCGATTAAAAGTTCTCCAATCTCAGGTAGAAGAAAATTTCTCATTATTGGAGACATTTTGCAACGTCCTTATACGTTATGAACTGGTCTTCGAGCTCTAGACGGGGTTGAGGTATCTCCACATCCAATGTTTCGTTTCACATGAGTTATTTGCACAAAAAGTATTCTATATTCCCACTTTTATAGCTAGCATAAAGGTTCATAGGCAATAAAACGAGGTACGCGTATTCTTTAAACAGACAGCCTTTTAAAGATGTAATTTTCAGATCACCACGTATTTCAAAAGTTAGTTTTTGTGGGTCCAATGATATATATAGTTATTTCAAAAATCATCTAAATATGACTCATCAACTTTTACCAATCACATAATTCATAATTTTCAGTTCATTTTTTCTATTTAACAGAAAAAAATTGATAATTTTGCGCTACAACGTTCTAAAAGTGACAAAAATGATACCATATCCATCGTATATAGGTCAATCCGGTGTATAAGTCGACCTTCCCCCTCTCCTAGT